TTAAAAAGGGAAATGATCCGTTTATATATTTTTTTATACAAATTATGCTAAGTGTGGCTTGTAAAAAAAAAAAATTGAAAATATAACCTTCCCCGATTAAAAAAATTTATTTAGTTGGCTTTTCTTTAGTTTATGGAAAATATTACTCTCCTTTTACATAAGGTAACTTATCTCATTTTCTCTCACTTCGATTTTCGCACCTCATTTTTTTTTTTTCTTTTTTCTTGTAATGGTGGGATACACTCAGTTTCTCTCTACAACATAAGATACATATCTTATGTAAAAGGAGATTAATAAAACCCTTAGTTTATACTAGATAATTGTGTTCCTTTAATTATAATGATTTTATCACTATATATAGACAGTTTCACTAAAGTGTGAGATGCTGGTCAAAACAAAAAACTTGGGTCACTGCCATGCCAACTGATCTGAATCATCTAGTGTAAGGGCCCTAATAGGCTAATTATCATATTCCATAAGAAGCCCACAAATAAAGTAACAAATTAATTTATTCGAATATTATTTCTACCTTCTTCATGGTGTAAGCTAAGTTTTTTTTTTGGTACATTGGTGTAAGCTAAGTTAATGAAGGAGATGGATAGCCCAAACAAAGTTCAACCCCATTAGTATATTCTCCTCGTATTCGAATTTGGAACCTAAGCGACGTGCTTGCGAAATCGAATTTTGACCATATATAGTCATTTCTTTCTGCAGAGGGGAAACCGAAAGATTTTTTATTTTTTATTTTTATTTTTTTGAAAATATTTCAATCGATTCATTGCTTCGTAACTAATTTGATTCGGGACGGGTCCAGAATTAAGGCTTTAAACCCCCTCACAAAGGTGGTATTGAGGAGATTCGAACACATGCTCTTATTCCCACCTGCTTACCTTTCATGTGCCAATTGAACTACCACCATTTGATAAAAACCGAAAGATTTCATAAAGAAAGGACCTGCAATTTTTCAATTTATTTTGAAAGCATAAAGCAAGAGTCAGTCTTTAAAACCAAATTTACTGGTATTACAAACAAAATAGAACATAAATCTTATGAGTCATTAACTAAAACATGAAGCCATATAATCGAAAGGTCATTGCAAAAATGAAAATTCAAAGGAGACTTAAATTATGAATTTAATATCTAAACTTAGAGGAGGGATATTCTCACTACCAAAATTTTTCACTACCTACTTACTACCTATCTGATCATCATTAGATTAACATTTTCTCTCTCTTCAAAAACTTTTTAACATTTTCTCTCTTTGATACAATGGTGATGTGATGGGTAGTAAGTTAGTAGTAAGAATTTTTGGTAGTTAGACTATCATCACTCCTAAACTTATATCTAGCATAATGCAAAAACCTTATCTACACTTATATATATCTAATTGTAAAACTTCAATTATATATTTAATGTAATTTTACCATTAAAAAATTATTCTATAAAATATAAAATCATAATTAAAAAGCAATCATTATTTTATCATGCGAAAATAAATAATAAATGTCATTAAGATAGTTATTTTACTATATATTTAAAATTAAAAAATATATTACTCAAGAAACTAATTTGTTTTTAGGGAATGATCCATTTACAAACTTTTTTTACAAATTACTATGACCGGTCGTACACACCGGTCGTATTTAGTATAATTTGTAAACAAAAAATTTATAAATATAATATTACTCTTTGTTTTTAGAGAAAAAAATTTGGAACTGACAATTTTTTACAAAGTGACTAACTTGCTTTGCATTTTTTTTTTTTTGAAATATTTCAATTGGTTCATTGCTTCGCAACTAATCTGATCCGAGGCGGGTCTAGGACTAAGGCTTTAAATTCCTCCCAAAAATGGTACTGTAGAGATTCGAACACATGCTCTCACCCTCACATGCTTAGCTCTCGTGCGTAGCACTACATAACTTTCTTAGCAAAGAATGTCGTTCAGATAAATTTTCAATTGAATCAATAGATGCATCTTCATTTTGAATATCACTAGTTAATGAAGAAGATAACTTTTAACTCATTGGTCAAACCCAAGAGCAAGAGTAAGAAGATGCTGATGCGTGGAGGACTAGTATAACTTTAGAGTGAAGAGCTGATGCTTAGTAATTTTGAATGTTTGTTAAAAATTATATTAAGTTTTACTTATTGAAAAAATTATATTAGGGTTTACTTTTTTATTAATATCATTGCATTTCTTTATTATTATTTTTATTGACTCTTGTAATTTTGAATGTTTGTTAAAAATTCATATGATTTTTTAAAATCGTATAAATTCATATTGTCCTTTCAAATCTTATAAATTCTATTAAAATTTATAAGATTTTTTATCTCAAAAAAGTCTTTTAAAATCATAATTTAATACACCCCTTAAAATTTATAGGCCCAAACCAAATTGAAATGTAAAAGATAAAAAAAATTATTCACAAAGATCACATGAAATAAATTTTCATTAACATCACAGGAAATAATGTTCATAAAGATCACATGAAAATGTTCATAAAAATCACATTAAATATATGTATATATACATATAATTTGCACTTTCTTTACTATTTGAATTTTATATTATATTTAAATTTTAAATAAATATTTATTATTTGTTAAAATAACATTAATCCTATTACTTTAAAAATTAATGTTATGAATTACGATCTCAGAATAAATTTTTAAATAAATAATATATATCATATATATATATATATATATATATATTATTAAAAAAATAAAAGGTATGTGTAATTATATTTTGACTCCGACTAAAATTAAATTCTAGCTCCGTCCCTACGCAAGAGGCTTGTACAATACATCCCAGCATAATGAAAGTAAAGTCAAAATCAGCTAAAGAAAATAAGGCAGCTCATATAACAACTTAAAATAACTCAATAACCAAAAGGTCCAAACCCAGCTTCATCCTTTAACTCTAAACAATATAATAAAAACTTTAAAGCTCATGAATCTGTATCAAGCAGCGAGAAAGAATCACATTTTGGGGTTTGGAGTCAAATCTTTACATTTAAAAACTAAAAAATAAAAATTATCAATCACCACTCTGACTTGATAAAACACAGGCTGAGTTTTTCCTCTTCTAATTACATCTACATCATGTTCAATGAATTGAGTATTTAATTGAAATTTCAGAAATACAATGCATGCTTAGCAATTTCAGATCCGGAAAAAAAAAAATTCGAATTGTTCACGTCAACTTAATTCATAAATAAATTTCATTTTTAAGAAAAAAAAAAAGTAAAGTATCCCTGTTGACCCTTTTAGATTTTGAAACGCGGTGTTTTTTCTTAGCAAAGGGTGTTTTTCTTTCCTTTCTTTTCTTCAAGGAAAAAGAAGCTTATGTAATTGAAATGCGGTAAAAGAAATTTACAGACAAATGCAGCAAACAAAGGAATCAGAGATTTCTTCTTGTTCATTGTCGACGAAGTTTTGACCTATGAATGCGGTGTTCTCCATTTTCTGAATGTTCGGGAACACACTAGAGACAATGGGGTATCACAGATGGTTCAGAATTGTGTGCTAACGAAACCGTTCAACTATGTATATTAAGGATTTTAAATAGATGTAAACTTGTCAGTTGTGTTTTAATGGATGTAAAATTATGTTAGTTAAGTGAGGGAAAGAGATAGATAAAGAAGGAAAGAAAATGAATAAAAAAATATAAAGGTGTAGGTCTTATTTCTTTATGAGAGTGAAATGATATAAGTTATGTCATTTAAAAGGATAAATATTTTTCTCATTAAGAAAATTATTTCTTTTTTCTCTCCTACACTAATATAAAAAGTGGGACAGCTTTTTTATTTTTTATTTTTTATTTTATAAATAGTAGATCCCACACAGTTTTATCTTTTTAATATAAGATAATTTATCTTCTTTTGACATAAAATTAATAACACCACCCATATGTTAAAGGGATAAATGTTCATTAATTTGTACAAGATAATATATATATATATATATATATATATATATATATAGGTTTTATAATTCTCATTTAACATGAGAATTCAAATTTTCCTACACACCCTTCGATTTTTGTGCTGACATGGGTCCTACATATAATTTTTTCTAATACATGGGTCTCATATACTTTTTATCTCTACAACATGAGAATTGAATTCTCATTTAACATGAGAAAATCAAACCCCTATATATATATATATATATATATATATATATATATAAGTGTATGAGGCTACGAGAAGAAAAGAGAAAAAAAAAAATATGAGCTTCATATATTTTTATAGGAATAAGTTATTCTGCTTATTATTTTTTGTGCCTACTACCATTTGGTTGGATTTTTTTTTTTTGTACACAAACTTGGTTTGCATTTTTGCTCCCACCCATGACTTGTGCTATTTTCAATGTCAAACTCGAAGCCCAATACAAACAATTATTGGAAGGCCCCAAATCAATGGGCTCGGGTTGGAAAATCCAGTTGCAGTTTATCACTTCCCATTTCGTGATTCAGGAAGAACCCAGAACGATAATGCTTGAGGAAGAAGAACCAAGAATCATAAGAACATTCTCGAGTGTCCGCGACAACTCCAATGATAAATGCAAAAAATATAAGATTAAATACCTTTTGGGTCCCAAACAAAAAACACGTTTCTCACTTTAATCCCTTACAAAAAAAGTTAGTCACTTGGTAGCTAACAAATTCAAAGTAAACCCATTTTAGTCTGGACTAATATGGGTCTTTTTTGAAATTATGAGGGACCACGATTTCAACTAAATGAGTTCACTTTGAATTTGTTAGGAACCAACTGACTAATTTTTTTTTTGTAAGGAACTAAAATGGGGACATAATTTATTTTTGAAAAAAATGAGTGTCATTCAAAAGGACATATAAAATTGTGTCATTTAGAGAAAGAAAGAGATAAATAAAGAAAGAGTTAAAAAAAAAAATAAAGATGTGGTTTCACTATATTTGTGAGAGTGAAAAGATATAAGTGGTCTCGTTTAAATCACAGATGAACACTTATCACGAAAATTGCAAGTACCTCATTATATAGTGAGTTTATCTCTTTTGCTATCTGTTCTCGTGTGCTTCATCAACCAGCTGGGCTGAACTACGAGGATTGAATCAATGGCTGACGGTATCTTTGGGTACCCTTTCAGAAGCTTCTTCTGGGGCCATCCTCTCATTTCAAGAGAATGGGATGGATCAACCGCCCTCATGGATTGGCTTGAATCCCCTACTTCTCACATCATCAAAATCAACGTTCCAGGTACCATGTTGTTGTTTTTTTGGTTTTTCTTTTTATAATTACACACTTTCACTCTCTCTTTCTTCACTTTTAATGAGTAATGACCCATTAGTATCTTTAGTGATAATTCTGTGTTTGGTGGTAAAAATAGAATCTTTTTGTGGATTTGAGTAGGTTAATTGATTATGATTGGGTTTCGGGTAATGGGTCTGTGGACAGGTTTCAGCAAAGATGACATAAAGGTGCAGGTTGAGGATGGGAATATTCTGCACATCAAAGGGGAAGGTGCGAAAGAGGAGGCTCAAGGAAAGGACACTGTTTGGCATGTAACTGAGAGAGGAACTATGAAAGGGGATTTCTCAAGGGCAATCGAATTGCCAGAGAATGTGAAAGTGGACCAGATTAAGGCACATGTTGAAAATGGAGTCCTCACTGTAGTTGTGCCTAAAGATGCATCACTCAAATCACCTAAAGTGCGAAACATTAACATCACTAGCAGGCTTTGAGATTTGGAAATCTGTTTATGTTGATATGAATAAGAATTGAGAAAAAATAAAATAAATTTGTATCTTATGACGCAAACATTGTATGTTGTACTAAAGAAGGAATGTAAGATTAAACAGTCAGACAGCAGTGTTTTGTTTCCCCTGTTTTGTTGATTGATAAGAACCTTGTGTAACTTTCATAAAACTTTCTTGAATCCTTGCTAAATCAACCAACAGTCTCCTCCACAATAACGGTGCATTATCCACCCTTAATTCGCATGCGTATGATAAATAGCTCGGGGAAACATGAATTTGGATTATGAAAAGAACCTAGTTTGTACAAAGGGCCAGCAAATCAGATTTGATTAACTGTGTATCACAAAACAGCAACGCATGCTCAACTGTAACTTTACTTTTACAAATATAGAAAAAATAGGACTATTATAACAATCCGTTTTTTTTTCTAGTTACTTCGTTCTCTATTTCTATTTGAGAAAATCTTTAGAAAAAATAAAAAAAATTCCGTATGCACTATCCTTCTAATTATGCGTCATCAATAATGAGACAGGTAGCAAATCACCAACTACATTTAAGAGGAACGTGAGTTGGAAGAACCAGTGTGAACTGTGAAGAATGGTAGTCACTTAGGGGTGCTAGTGAAAGACCAAGTAGTTCAAGTCTCAAAAGGAATTTGATTGTCACTTGAATTGAAACTGAAGGACTATATTAGACTGCTTTTAATAATCTTTTAGCAACGACGGATGGCTCATGAGCATAGTTATATCAGAGGACAAATATATGATAATAAGCAAAATTAACACCAAACTCTCCTTAGCTAGTAAAATGCCTTGTCCACCTGTCTTTCAGGTTAAAAAGTTATGATGACATAGACGGATTTTGTATTTTAGTAGCCCTTTGCTCTTCAACCGAATAAAGTTACAAAGGAATTGTCCGATACACTCGTTTGGGTCAGTTCATTACCATTTGGGTCCGATTAGGGTGCTAAACAAATTAGGGGTTTTTTTAGGGGTTTTAGCTCGACTCGTGAAGGCCTGAACTTACATGTCTAAAATTAGTTGTTAGCACCAGGCTTGAACTTGTATGAAAGCTCATTTAATAAAAAGGCCTAAGGCTCCAATTCAAAAGCTCGGCCTTAAAGCTTATAAGGTTGGCCTAGTATATTATTTTTTTTATTTATATTTTATATTTTTTATACTACTTGTAATAGCTGTTTCTTTCTCCTCAATCCATTTCACCCCATTTTATTGGTTAAATATACTTTTGAATGATTTTGTTCTATATTATGTTGTTTGAATATAAATTGAATTTATGAATATTTATGGAATTAATAGGGTTGTTAATTGTATATTTTGTTTGGATAAATTTTTGTTGTCTTATTTTGTTTAAACAAGCTAACAGGCTAAACAAGGCTTTCATTTTTTGTAAATAAGTCAGTCCACAAGCCGATAGTTATATTTATAACAGGTAACAGGCTTGGTCAGGCTGACACATTTAAACACAGACTTAGCCTTTTAAGACCAAAGTTCGGCTCGGTTCGGCCCGTTAACACCCCTAGGTCTGATACACCCATAATTTTTTGTACGAAAAGAGTGTGTGTGCTCGCCCGTTTAAATAATAAATAAAATAGTATATGTATTTCAATTTTTTTTTATTTAATAAAAAAGACTATTGTAGTATTCAAAACTTGAAAGCGTGTTTTTATTCATTTCTCAACATTTAAGAAGTTAGTAAAAATTTCCATGCATACACCAAAATGAAATCTTTTATTGAGCACCAATCACAGGCATTTGAGAGCTAAATCAAATCAAATAATTAGTTCTAAAAAAAATTCAAAGAGCAAGATCCAAAAACGCAAGTAAAAACGAAAAGGCATAACTAATGCATCTAAGCCAATTAGCCCCAATTCCTGTTTTTGTTGTTGCATTTCACAAAATAGACAATCAAGACTTGCCAAAGTGATAACGATCCGATTAAACCTACCCACATAGATGATTGAACTGCACGAGGTATATGTACCTACCTTCCCCGGCCCCTCAATCCACACCCGAAGAAAGTTTGGAAACTATCTGTTTGGTGTATAGTATATGATATGGTCTGATAGTATAAGACCTGATTAAATTTTAATACTATCCAGCGTTTGATATGATATTGTATAAGATATTATCCTCCAATATTTAAAAAAATAATATATTAAAAAATATTATTTTTTATATAAATATTGAAATAATACATTAGTTCTTGGGAATTGTACTTGTAAGCAATATTAATACATCAACCCCTTATCAGGCTTAATCCACCACTCCTAGGCCGGATTAAGTTATACATCATTTTGATGTATAAAGGGGTCATGTTGTATAAGCTTATACTATACGATGGTCATACCAAACAACTGAAAATGTCATAACGTATAATATAAGCTTATACTATCAAGCCTTATACATCACACCAAACAGGCTCTATATTAACGTGTGGTTTGGTAGTGTGTTATCGAATACATGCTCTCATCTTCACTTACTCAATTCTCAGACATCATTTGAATTATAGTTTGAGAGTTCGTACGTATAATTGGACTTGGACCGGAATCTCAAAATTATATTTTAATCTCCTAATTTAATTATCTTGTTTGTGATATACGTTAGAATTGAAATTCTAATCTGATTCTAATTCTATGCAATTAAAAAATAACTGTTCTATTTTTTTCAGTATTTATAATAAATTTTATAAAGTCCGCATGAAAGTCCGCATGAACTGACTACATATTTGTCTGGATGTATTTTCCTGTATTACGGGTGGGAAAAAGAGGTGTGCGGTCACGCCTTCACCTGTGTAGTCAGTGGCACTTAAATTAGTGTTAGTATTGTAAGAGGGTTTAGTGTTTATTGGTCCTTTTAGATGAATTTAATAAATTTTAAATTACAAATTTTTTTTTTCCACTCTCTCTTCCTCATAAATTATTCTTTTATCTCTCTTAAAAGAATATAAGTGTGTGTGTCCTTGTGTGTCTTTTAGAAGGACACACGTTTTTCCCAACGTAAGAATTGGAAAGGTAAAAGATAAAAAAATCTCTATCTTAGGACATAAATGTTAATGGATTTATCGTTTCTGCTGTCATGTAATATAAAATTATCCTCAATAACTTCGAAATGTCGTTTTAGGATTAAGAAATTTAATAAATGATATTTTATAAATTTTATTTATTTCTTTTTAATATATATATTATCAAAATATTATTCCTTAATTTCCTCAACCTCATACCGATATAGTTTTGAAATCGTGAGAGCTAATTTAAAATTATGTCATTTTAGAGATTGAGAGAATTAATAAAAGATATTTTAGGAACTTTTTTTCTTTATTATATGAAATTTATCAAAACACTCTTCATTAATTTCTCCAACCCGCAAAATGACATAGTTTTGGAGTTACTAGATAAATTTATCTCATGTGGCAGGAGAAAACATAAACCTAGGTTTATCGTTGTTATAATGACCCTAAATGATAAATTTTAATTAGAGGTTTAATTTAAGGATTTAAATGCCAAAAATTAGATTCAGTGAATGAATTCGAGTATTTTGACTGTAATCATAACTAGGTTATGAACAGTGCGTTATGTCGGAGAATTTGCAGTCTTGTGAATTAACCGGTAGAGCTTAAATGAGCAAAATGATTATTGAGACATAATTTTACAATTCTGACGCCAAATATGAGTCCAGAACGAAAAATTGTATAGTCTGGCACTTTCTGTGAAAATTTCGTGAATAGTGTTTCTACCGGGTATTTTGTACTGCTGTTTAAGCAACCGGTAGAGTCCAGAAGAAAATATTTGATAAAATAAGAATAAGAAAGTCCAATATATGCCAAGCAAGTCAAAATAGGCCCAAAAATGATAAGTTCATAAGTTTTAAGTTTCGCAAGTAAACAAAGTACTGTTAGTGATTCACAGTGCATTTCGTCAAAAACGATGCAGAAACCATACTGTGAATTTTGAATATTGTTCCTTAGGAAATAAAAATGAATGTAAATGACTTTCGAAAAATAAGAATATGTCCGTAGCTTTAAGTTAGTTCCGGGTCCGTTTAAGTTAAAATACGCGAAAGAAAAACAACCGGATTAAAAAGGTCACATGTGCTTAAAAGACCATAAGTGACTTAAAATCACTATTCACTCACCATCTCTCTCTCCTTCTCCCCCTCCCAACCCGCGGCTGCCATGGAGTTAGCAACTAGAGGTAATAAATCTCTATTTTTATGGTTTGTTTGTGACACGAGCTGTCGAACTCGCGCAAATTGAAAATTATTTTTTTAATTAGGGTTCAAAAAATTTGCAGTAAGTGGAAACCCTAAGTCGTCTCTCAAAGGAATTGTTTGGGTAAAAATCGTTTTTGAAAACAGAAAATAAAAAGGGGGTTTTTTATTTCAGTTTAATAATTTAAAAGGCAGAATATAACATTGGAATTAAAATTCGTAATTAAAAATTACCAACCTAAGGTTAGGGTTCCATGGATGTCTTTCCTCGGATAAAGAGGTATAAGAATCGTGATTGATTGTCAATTGAATCAGAATCCTTATTTCCAATTGACAACCCTCTCTAAGCGATCGCTTAGCATTTGATCAAATACGATATTTTTACTCATACAATCGCAGAGTATCAACCCATTTGATTTAAGGTCATAGGGTCAATCAATCTAATCATCAAATCTGATGATTAATCCTTTTCCATAATCGCAATCGCGAACCTCAAATTGAATATCCATGATCGCACGATATCAATATGAGTTTGGAAGGGAAACGAAACTGATTTAAAATAAAGCGCAGATCCTCAAGACTAATCCATGGAATCCGTTACCCTTAGGTTGATTAAAAGGTTCTTAGTCTCGCATGGCTAAGGTAAACATAATTAAAAATTAAAAAGAATAAGAACAGAAGATGAAGAAGAAGAACATAATTGAATTGAAATTCAGAGAAAACTTGTCTGTCGTCAAAACTCCCAAAAACTCACTACCGAAGGGTTTCCTAAAGTCTCCCTTAAATAGCTGTCATTCAGAACGGCTAGGGTTTCACCGCTTCGGCCCATACATAAAATAAAAGTTGAATAAAATAAAATAAAACATGGCCTTGGGCCCTAAACACA